GTTGCACCTGCACGAAAGGCGTTTCTAATGTCGTCCGGTAGTAAAATCGCGTAAAATAGACTAAGGACAAATAAACCATTATTAAGAAGTTAAGTATTCTTTGAAGAGTCAACATTGACGTAAAATGTATAAAATTGAAAAGAGAACGAGCAATTAGTTTTATTTGTTAAGGAACACTGTTGGCTTTTCTATGATTATTACCTAGCGAACACAAAGCAAATGAAACAAAGGATAACAAAAATGGCACGAGCCCTTTTGGCAGCTATAAAATGATCACCCGCACAATTTACACTTATAGACAGTTACAACAAAAGAATTAAAAAGCGATAACTAAAATCAAGTGTCGCAAGGAAACTTAGATCAACCAAACTGAATTAAAATAAAACCTACAATTGTCAAATCCCTTACTAGAAACTAAATCATTCTCGTCCCCAGAGCCACTCGGCTTAATTTGTAACCGACCAGTGGCTCTGGACGCAACGGAAAATACGAATTTTTTCATTGGCTGAAGGCAATTGAATGCGCAAAGCAAATTAAAAATATAATCTACTGCGCATAACATTTTACTTCGTGCCTGCAAACATGAAATGCGTGTCTGAGTTTCGTTGACTGCGATAATCGTGGTTTGTTTATATGCAATAGCAGTGAAGAAGAGAATTGCGGGTAAAGTTTGAGAAGTTTCTACGAAGACAACGAGCCTTGACAAAGAAAGTATTGCCTTCGTTGTGCCCTAAACTTTGCCGACCGTCGCATCTCTTGGGAAACTGAAAGGAGGAGTAATAGTTAGTTGCTGTTGCTGAGTCCTTGCTCTTTAAAAATCAAGCGATTAATACTGTACTTGTATGTCGTTATTAATTAGCCTAATCAGTTTTTCTAATTCCTCTGGATATTTGTCAGTGCTACAGTAGGAAAGGAAATCAAGCTCCGACTACATCTAATATAGAAATGATATGTACGTTAAGTTTATTGCAGCGTGCTTTTAATTTATCGTATTTTCTGCTGAAAGAACATCTCCTTTGCTATACTGAGGTTAAGATAATATTTTGTTATATGCCTTTATTTCTTTAGACCACTGTTGGCAGTGCACAAAGCCAGAACTGAATTGCTTATGAATCTTTTTGGGCTGCATGCAAAAGGCAATTTTTTAATTGTGTAAAGATGATAGAGCAAGTACTCTTTCCAATCCACGTTTTCTTCCACTTAATTAATGCCTAAGTCATGCTTAGATAATTCGGAGGCTTTCTTTTAATTTTTATTTTAACAGTAAGAATTGGGCCGTGAAAGGAAAGGCTATGTGGCCGACTTGTTACAAATGTTTTGCAAGAAGATATTCTCATCCTAACTGTCCTTGCTTGGCTTCCAGTCGTGTGGCATTTAGACAAAGATAAACAAGGGGCTCTGGGGTTATTTATAACTGATGAACAGTTAACAAAGAAGCAGCTTTCGTACAATTTTTCTTGATAAAATAATTATGTTATCTGATCACTACATAGGGTAGCACAATGTTCTCAACCTTTTTGGTTTAAGAATTCTAAAATAGAAGAAAACTTGACTGTTTATGCTAGGCATACATTATGTCAGCGACAACTGAGGTGTTAATAAATAAAATGGTAAATGAACAACAACCTAGAGTAGTCTATTTTGCATCATACTGGGATAAGTGGTTGTTGATGATAACAACTGGATTTTGCAGTATGTCACCTTTGATAGGCTGGATAACATTATGGCTTGATCAACAGTAATATCATAGTTTACTTGCCAATCCTAACCACACCTGCTCTCCACCCCTCCTTGAGCTTGCACACAGCATTGGCGTACTGAAGCATAGGGCATCTTAGTTTACTTGTTATTGACAAATATATGATGAGCCAAATTGAAACTTGCTTCTGCTGGTCAATGATGCAGTTCTGTTTAAACCTTTTTCCTAGTTGGAGGCCTCATGTTATAACACAAAATAATGAATTTTAAGGGAACTAAAAAATTGTTCATTATCAAAACCTGTGAGCAAATATTGTACTTTAACTCTATAAAGCACTACATTCAGTTTCAATACAACTGCAGAGGGTGGGGATTGGGGGTGGGGCATTACCCTCCAAAAATCATTTCAGATTCACCCCACGGTATGCTTCTTGCCTTGCCAAATTTTGACCTAACTATGTGATTTTCACTATCCTATTTCAGGCCTGATCCAAAGTTCTATCCCCAATTTCAAACCTTGCAGGTCTTGCACTCCAGTCTCAAAACATGATGAGGGCAGCTACCCAAGAAAATGCTTTTGGGTTGTGTGTTACTCAAAGCCGTAACTTCTTAATGGGGGGATCTCTTAAAGTGTGGCTGCCCTCGAAAGTCGTACTTGACATCCGAAGGAGTTTCGTTGTTATTCACAAGAAAAGAGAAAAACTTGGATCGTCAGATCTTTCCTTTATCTCCAAATAATCTTCAACTCTTCAGTTCTTCAGATAACAACTTAGTCTGCCTTACACGATACGGATGAGCGAAGGATTACACGGATTGTAAACCTAAATCACACATGTGATAAACAAGAACATGGCGGCAACTAGCACGAGTCCTAAGCAAATGGTAACAACCGCTGACCATAAATACTGAAAACTCCTTACTACAGCACTGCTGTAGTAACATGGCTCCTCAACTGCATGTCATGCAGTTAAGACAAAAGAATAAACCTACATGAGTCCCTAAGGCTAAACGTTCAACAAACTATCAGTTCGATACTCAAACAGTAGAATCTCGAAAGTTCGAGTCACTGATCGGCAACAACGAATGAATGTTAAATGAGTTAATCAAAATCAAGTGTTCACTACAATGTTCATTGACAATGAAACCTTTGCAACGTCTTTCAATTGTTCTTCGTTGGCTCCTCGATGGGGACTTCCCTGGTCTCCTCGTGAAAGACATCTTCCTGGAACACTTCATCTGCAGTCAACAATAGCACGAGCTTGTGTATAGGTCTGTCTAAATATGATGGTGGGCGTTGGCGTCTGCCACTATCATCCAAATTCCCGTCTGCCATCAGCAACCTGACCTTTCTGACATATCCGTCGTCACTTGGGTACACCTGCACTACTTTGCCAAGTGGCCACTTGTTGCGCGTGCTTTCACTTTCCTTAGAGATGACTATATCACCAACAGCAAGGTTTCTCTTAGGCTGAACCCACTTTTGCCTGACTTGTAACATTTGAAGATACTCTCCCCGCCATCTCAGCCAGAATTCATTTGCAAGATACTGAACTCTTCTCCAACGTCTACGACAATACATATCGGCTCTTTGAAACTTTCCTGGGGGCGGTAACACTCTTTTAGGTTTCATAGTAAGAAGATGGTTAGGAGTCAACGGCTCTGGCGCTTCTGCATCACATAAGTTATCGACGCTGAGGGGTCTTGAATTAATAATGCACTCGACTTCTGTCAAGAGTGTTCGCAATGTCTCATCATCAAGTTGGCTGCCAGCTTGTAACAGTAGTGGTTCAAGTGCGTTACGCACACTACGAATCATACGTTCCCATGTCCCGCCCATGTGACTAGAATGGGGTACGTTCAACTTGAATGGAATCCACTCGCATCCATTCCTTAGCAAATAGTCTTGAACATGATCTTGATTCATCTCACATAATGCTGCTTTCAGTTCACTTCGTGCACCAATAAAATTTGTCCCTTGGTCGGACCTCACTTGTCTCACAGCACCTCTCCGATTCATGAAACGTCTCAATGCATTGATAAATGAAGAACTCTCCAAAGAACTGGCAGTCTCTAGATGAACACTTCGTGACCCCATGCATGTAAACAATACTCCATAGCGTTTAACTTCACTTCTTCTCTCTTTGACAATGAACGGTCCAAAGTAATCAACGGCACAAAACGAAAAGGGAGGAGCTGGTTCAAGTCTGTCGTCAGGAAGGCAGGCCATCTTCTGCTGCTCAGTGGGCCTACGCAGTCGTCTACATGTTACACAACTCGATATGAACCTCGCTACTTTTGATGAACCATTGATCAACCAATAGCCACTTTGCCGCAACTCGTTATGCGTCATACCACGTCCCATATGGTTCACTTTGAGATGGTGATGTTGAATCAACAGTTCAGTCAAGTGTCTCTTTCGCGGAATAATGACTGGATGCTTCAGATCAACTGGTGTATCTGCTCTTCTGATACGACCGCCAACACGAATTATGCCATCATGGTCCACAAACGGATCCAGTTTGTACAGCGAACTGGTCTTTCGTAACGCTTGGTTCCTTTTTCTGGCTTGGTTCCTGTTTGTCTCTCCGTTGGTTACGTTTAAGTTGCAGAGAATTTGAAGTTCCTCACGGAAATGTTCGTACTGCAAACATCTGATGATGGTCTTCTCTGCCTCCTGAAGCTCTGGTAGTGTAACTCTCAGTATTGACTTCTCAACTTCTGTACTTGACCTTGTTACTGGACTCTCGGGCTTCTTAATTTCCCTTCTTTGAAACTTGGACTTCAGACGTAAACATAGAGCTATGACCTTTATAGCACGGTACCAGCTAGATACACCATCTAGTCTGCTTATTTCAAATTGATCTGGAAATGGAGCAACACTTCTGACCTTCGTGGTCAAAACAGACACTTTCTTCACCTCCGGGTCAGAGTCTTGAAGGCGAGGCAGCTCCACGTTTTCTGGTTCACAGGGTCCGCTTCTCCACAAGAATTCTGGACCAGTTAACCACTGAGATCCTTCAACCAGCTGCTTTGCGGTGAGTCCTCTTGATGCTTCGTCTGCGGGGTTGTTGTTTGTGTCTACGTAAAACCATGCGTTGGGATCGGTTAGGTCCCGGATTTGCTGCACTCTGTTAGCAACATAAACGTGAAACCTCTTGGCTTCATTGTTAATGTATCCGAGAACTACTCGGCTATCCGTCCAGAAGAATTCTTTCATCTCCGGGTACTCCAACTCATTTCTCACGAACTCACTCATTCTTGCAGAGGTGGTAGCAGCAGCTAACTCCAGCCTTGGAATAGTCTTGTGTTTAAGGGGGGTTACCCTGGCTTTTCCGACGATGAAGGAACAATGAGCTTGATCGAGTTCGTTAATCAATCTTAGATAAGAGCATTGACCATAACCTTCCACTGAAGCATCTGAAAAATAGTGGACCTCCACTGCTTTCACTGGGCCAAAGTTGTCTGGCTTGAAACATCGCTGTATCTCTAGTTTCTCCAACAGTACGATTTCTCGCCGCCACTTTTCCCACTGTGGGTGTAGATACTCTGGAACAGGGCTATCCCAATCCAGCTTGTCTTTGCACATCTGCTGAAGAATCTGTTTACCTCTGAGTGTAACAGGGGCCAGGTACCCATTAGGATCATAAATGGAGCCAATAGTGGACAATACACCTCTTCGAGTTAAAGGGCGATCATGAAGTTCAATCCGGAACCGGAAACTGTCACTTTCAGCGCACCACATCACGCCTAGAGCTCTTTCAATAGGTAATGGATCTACAGCTAAGTTCAGTTCCTTTATTTCCTTTGAATGGTCGTCAACCGGAAAGGCTTCAAGAACTTCTTTCTTGTTCGAGACTATTTTATGTAATCTGAGACAAGCCTTGCTACAAATTGCTTGACTGGCCTTGATTAACTGAATGGCTTCGGGTACCGTTGATACAGATTTTAGTCCATCATCTACGTAGAAGTCCTTGCGTATGAACGCCGCAGCATCTGTACCAAACTCTTCTTCGCCATCGTCAGCTGCTCGCCTAAGCCCAAAGTTCGCGCAACCTGGGGAACTGCTGGCACCGAACAAGTGAACTTTCATACGATACTCGATTACTTCCTTTGATGGGTCCCCATCCAACCACCAAAGAAAACGTAACAGATCTCTGTGTTCTTCGGCAACCACGAACTGGTGGAACATGCTCTTGATGTCCGTCATAAATGCAACGCTTTCCTTGCGAAAACGACACAAGATACCCAACAGATCGTTCATAAAGTCAGGACCTTGCAGCAAGTAGTCATTGAGGCTGACTCCGTTAAACTGGGCCGAACAGTCAAACACCACCCTTATCTGCCCTGGTTTCTTTGGATGGTAGACACCTGTATGCGGTACGTAATTGACTTTACCGTCTTGAACCTTAAGACGATCTACAGGAACTTCCTCTGCACATTGTAAGATTATGTCCTTCATAAAGGCCTGGTAATCAGTAAAATATTTCGGATTCTTCTTGAATCTCGCCTTCAGTTGGTTCCATCTCTTTACTGCGAGCTGGCGGTTGTTTGGAAGGCACACACTGTCTGATTTCAACGGAAGTGGCATCACGTAACGTCCATCCGATTGTTTCTTTACTCCGTCCTCAAGAATCCTTAGAAATCTCTCATCTTCCATAGAATAAGGTTTGTACTTGGGACTTGTCTCAACAAAGTCAGTTTCTAACACATGGAGAACTTTCTCTGGGCCAATAATCTCTTTAGCCTTTGTGGCGAATGCAAACTGGCTATGAATTTCAGAAGCTGCAACTCTATTGCACACACCCTTGTCTGTGTTTTCAACATCATTAGACTTGCAGACTCTTCCAATAACTCCCCAACCAAGTATAGTCCTCTGAGCGTACGGCTCGTCATCTTCACCGGCAACTATTTCCCTGGGTCGGATAGCTCTTGGGCAGTTGTTTCCAATCAGGATAGAAATTTCTGCATCTGGGTGGTACGGTGTCAACTTATCGGCGATGGGCTTCAGATGTTGCCATTCCCTAGCCACTTCAGGTTTTGGAATCTGCGACCGGTTAGCTGAAACAAGTTCCCGGGTGAAGGCCACTGGCATCTTCACTACACATTCTCTATGGTAGTCGAGAATCTCTAGCCCAGATATCTTTTTAGTTTTAACACGGGCATTTTGCTGCTGCATTGTTGTCAACAGAAGCTCGGTTGATGGGCCTTGCAGGTTAAACCGTTCACAAAGAGTCTCAGACACAAAACTGACATTTGAATGATCGTCGAGGACTGCATACTGCAAGATTTCCTTATCTGGCTCTCCCACTGGCCTGACCCACACTGGTACTATCATGGTGTGATCCAATCCACCGCTTTGTTCAGGAATTAGACATACACTCATACAATTTGAGATGGCAGCATTGTCTTGTGTTAGTTCCTTGTGAAGGCATGTGGGATGTGTTCCTGAGCATGTTTTCACTTTGCATTTCAACCTCTCCTTGCAGTTCGCTACCTGATGACTCTTACTGGCTGCGCAACCCATACACAAACGTTCGCGGAAGAAGAAGTCTCTCCTTTCACTGAAAGGCTTTCTACAGAAATCAGCGCAGTCATCTAACTTGTGCTTTGCACCACAAAACAGACACTTCGTCAAATCATTTGGACCAGGGTCCTTTGATTTACTAGAATTGGTGGGGTCTGATTTACTGTTACCACCACCCTTAGCTGATGTAGAGAGAGAACTACCCTTCTCATTATCTGGTTTCAGCTTCGGATTTCTGTTAAATCTTGGACAACTTGATGTGGCGAGGCCTTCTAACTCTGGGATATTTGCCTTTTCTGCTGCTTCTCTGATGAAATCTGGAAACTTAACAGAGGTAGGGTAACTGGCTTCACCATGGGTATGTCTCCATTGTTTAATTGCCTCTATCCACTTGGTTTCAAGGTAGTAGGGTAACTTTGATAGTAACTTTACATTCTCCTTTGCATAGTCCAGTACAGAAATATCTGGAATGGTGTTCTTTGCTGCTAATACCTTGTCTAACATGTCTGAGAACTCCCTTAAGGCACTGGCATCCTTGGGTCCTATCTTAGGCCACTTCTCCAACTTGTTAATAAATGCTGTACTCACAACATTACAGTTTCCATACCTTTCCTGCAATACAGACCTAGCTTTCTGATAAGCATCTTCTGTCCCAATCAGAAGATAATGTTCCACAACTTGCTTTGGCTTTCCAGTTACATACTGATTCAACATATTCAGCTTGATGTCTGCTGCCAGTGGTCTAGAGTCAACTAGAGCATTAAAGGCACTCTTCCACACAGGATATTGCAGGGGGTCTCCTTCAAATACTGAAATGGTCAGTTTTGGAAGTTGTTTAGAAACAAACAGTTCTTTGCTCACAGTACTTTGTTCTAAGTTAGCTTCTGTTAACTTGTCCATACACCTTTCTAATGATGAAGCAACCTTTTCCCACCCTTCACAGAAGGAGTTAACTTGACCTTGAGGATGAACAAACTGGTAACTTGAAGGGGAATTCATAACTGTTGACATAATTGGTGATGGACCACTTATGGAGTTAGTTACAACTGGATCAGTTTTTGCCGACGAGAAAGCTTGTCTACAAGCTGCTTCTGTTTGAATGGGAAAACCAAGTTCAGGTTCAAAATGACGAACAGCAAATACTGACTGTGTTACGGTTCCCGGGGAGAATGATGGAGCAGAAGCCCGCAGACCACATGTTGTAGTCTTTGGTGTGGATGTTGTTGTCAAAACAGGTGTTTGGGATACATGTACTTGGGACTGAACTGATGTATTAGTCTCATTTGCACGGGTAGTTACTGTTAGAGATTGCAAGAATCTTTTCACTCCTTCACCTTTACTCTCACTAGGAAGATTGACTAGATCTTCTTCAAGGGAGGGTGTTTGCTCATTATCAATCTCTTTGCATACACTTAACTTGGCTCTACTAAGTTCAAGTTCCCTCTTTAGTTTGAATTCTTCCAGTTTCTGCTCCTGTTTTAACCTTTCTATTTCTAAGGCCTTTTCTTGTTCCACATAGGCTAGCTTCACCTTCAAAGCAGCTTCTTCCTGTAGAAGCTTATATTTATCTACTTTAGTTGAAAGTACACTGTCTGAACTTGACTTTGACTTGACACTTTTGGTTGTCTTACTCCTCTTTGAACCCTTAGAAATGACAGAATTAGACTCCAAAACTGTTTGTTCCAAATACTTTATCTCATCCCTCACATCCCTTTCAAAATCAGACCACTCACCACAAACTTGCTCCCAGATGTTCCTGACCTTTGCTAACTCATCGTCTTGAACTGTTTCCAAAATGTCATTATATGCATCCACAAATTCATTCCACAGAACCTGTGCCTTACTAAGCTCTTGCTTCCACTTTGATAATTCATTACAATGTCCCCGAAGCAACAGTGTTTTTCTCAGTGTTCCCGTAAAACTTGACCTTTTATTCTTGAAAGAGTTCAACTTTATATCGTTTTGATAGGATTGACCCTTTTCGGTTAGCTTCCTGATACGAACTTCCGACGAATGCTGTTCATTTTCCACATGGAAAAAACCTTTGTTTTCGGCATTCTCCGATAGATCAACAATTATAGGCGAAGACTTCTCGCAAACATCATCCAAACAATAATTTGAAGCGGAACTTACCACCTCACCACAAACATCCGACATTGAATCCTCAGGAATATCACTCAACTCTCGAGACATGACGAGTACTAAGTCCAAACCAAAGGCGATCAGAACTAACTTTCTACAAAGGCTTACACCACTTGGTATCCATTCAAATCCTCCACAGGTCGTCCGACTTTCGTTATGAACTTCTTGTTGTGACAGCGATGACTTTACGGTGGTTAAAAGCTTCACCAAGGACCATTAAGTTGTTATTGTGGCTGCCCTCGAAAGTTGTACTTGGCACCCGAAGGAGTTTCGTTGTTATTCACAAGAAAAGAGAAAAACTTGGATCGTCAGATCGTTCCTTTATCTCCAAATAATCTTCAACTCTTCAGTTCTTCAGATAACAACTTAGTCTGCCTTACACGATACGGATGAGCGAAGGATTACATGGATTGTAAACCTAAATCACACATGTGATAAACAAGAACATGTCGGCAACTAGCACGAGTCCTAAGCAAATGGTAACAACCGCTGACCATAAATACTGAAAACTCCTTACTACAGCACTGCTGTAGTAACATAAAGCATACAGTCTATATACAGTGTATATATCACTCTACCTTTTGACTGTTCCAGATAAGAAAGTACAGCTATATAGCTTATGATAACCCATTCTAGGTATTCAGATAGTGAGAAGTAGAGCATTAAAAAAGCAGGGTTTTTTTAGCTTTGTTCTCTTTGCACCTTCCCCAATACTTGAATGTCTGGCACAGGCATAAACTACTGCTTTTAAGCCTTCCCCCCAACTTATAAGCCCTCCAGTTATAGGCCGTGATTTACCACTGAACAAGAAAAAATGTTCCCCTGCTTGTAAGCCCTCCCCTAAGAAAAAAAAAAACGTTCAAACCCCTTACAAAGATGTGTAACCCATGAGCTCATAAGTGATACTTAAACAGGTTTCTCTCTGGATGCATTTACATGATTACCATCACTTCCTACTAGACTAGTGTCCGGTAGCAACCGGTAATCAAAAGTACATATAACTGTTTATATCCCTACAACAGAGGTGACAAGAGCTCACCTATACTGTGAAAGTTACAAAACCATGAATACCAAAAATTATTTAGGAATGCTATTGTGTTGCAAAGAAAAAGCTAATAAGGGGTGAGAAAACAAAACCTCAAAGAGCAGTGGTAATTACTTTGTGGTTTTGAGGTTTGGTCGTGCATGTGTACTGAACATTATGGTGATTGGTCACTACACAATCAACATTTTTCAGGTATTAATGATTTTCTGAGTCTTACAGCAAAATTATTGAAAACTCTCTCTTTGAGGTACTGTCTGATGATGATTTTTAGCTAGGAGATGATACCTGAAATCTTTAGGGAGGATAAACCCTTTTAGCAGAACACTGAATCGCCCCCATAAACACCAAATGACCCAGAAGTTTTATGATTAGGGTTAGGAAACTGGGTTCAAGTTCTGAACTGGAATTTGATTCACTCAGTACTGTATAAAGTTGCCATGCATGGAAGCCCATGAAACCAGTCCTGGACAAACCTTGTAATATATGTTTTTTACCCTGGGTCGGTAAAATGATTAATATTGATTTGTTTCGACGTAAATCCTTCGGTTGTCTAACACGTGTTGTACACAAAAGCTCATGAGCAAAATCACCACGACATGCGACACCACAAAAGGAAATGATCATAGGAAAACCTGGAAAACACACAACCAGCTCGAGTGAAATGAAATATATATTTTACTCTCCTAACACAACACATGAATGGTTTCGTTTCAAAAAGCGTTTTGAAGTAAGATAGCAGTTGCAGGACATGGAACAAGATACCTTTTTAGATTGACTTTTTCCCGCATTATATCGATCTTTGCGATATTGCTTTCCCAGTGTTTTGTGTTTGTTCGCCAAACGGATCGAAAAAAACACTCACGTAACTCAGACGATAGTCTGCCGATTAATTGTCTCAGTTCTCCAAACCAACAGTGTGTTCAGCCGGCTTCTGTTACTGTCTTCTTCAAATTCTCCAAATTATCAGTGAATCCAAGTTGAGTGAAGTAGGCTAGAGTGAAGTGGTGCATTTTCAAAACAGCCCAAAGAAGCCACTCTCTGGAGAGAGCTGAGGAAGTAAAATTTTTCCCCCAGTGGAGCGGTGAGGGACAAAAATACGTTATGAGCATGAGCAGTAATATTTGTAACTGCTGCACGTGCGCGACTCATCCGGTAACGGCTGCGTCCAGAGCCCCTCGTTTCCCTACCACGTGACCAAGAAACGACGGGCTCTGGGGACGAGAATGAAACTAAATTGAAAACGCCTTACGCTTAATCTGGAAACACATATTACAAATCAACAAAAATAGCTATATTCTCCCTAACACGATTTAATAGCGCTGAACTTTCTCAAAACTCAGTTCAGTCAAACAACAAACAGCAGCACTTCAAAATGCGAGTTTTTGTACTCATTACATGATAACTTATGAAAGGTGTTTTAGAGGAAAAGTCAACACATATTCATGCGAACGTACAATGAAAGAATACGTTCATGGTTTGTTCAGTACTACAGAAGTAGAAAATTGAACATCAGACTGTACGCAGCTGTATTTTGTTGAGTCGATCTGTAAGAATTTCGTGCTTACAGACTGAACTGGCAGCTATTGTAATGGAGGACTTCATTCACTTTTTGCAAGCCGCAGTGGTTTAAGATCTGTTTTCTGGACTTTATCATGATCAAGAAATGCTGCCCTAACGACGTGGCTGCATTTGCGAAGTTTTCGCATGTAACTTTATGTGCACGTACAGCGACCGATGGAAATATGTCAGTGGTAGAGAAAGGTTTCTTTGCCGTAGCCACATATTGGCGTTAATATTTGTCGATGTGTGAAGTCAGGTGGTTTGAGGCAGGTTATGGCATCGATATTACCGAATAATTTGTGCAAATGTTGGAAAAAACCAGCCCGAAACTCTGACATCTTTCATCATCGTTGGCAGCTTGTTTACAACCTAGAGTGGCCGATTTTGTACCATATCTTGATGAGAGATATCTTTTTGGAACAATTTCTTTCATTAAGGAATTTAATTTTGACATAAGATAAATCAAGAATGCTAAAACTATCCGTTTTGTTGCTGGTTGGCACATGATTAAGTTTTCCTAGAGACTTTCTACACCAGAAATTCACGCAGTTGTTGTCCTTCTCTGCGATTTGGCATCGTCGTGAAATGTAAACTGCTTTCCAGCTTTGTACTTTATTACTTCTAAAGCTATGGCAGTAATAAAATGTGGAAACCAACGCTTTTGATATTAGAAGGGCTGGGTAAGTAACTTGTTCTGTTTTTTAGCCTTTCTAAAATCATTGTTTGCAGATCAATAGCTAGTCTGCTACACAGCCGTTATTAGTGTCGTCACGCAATGCTCCTCCCCACAAACGGCTGCTAAAAACCGAACTACATTCCTTTCCCTTTGTGTTTGTGGTCTAACGAACAAGCCAATCATGTACAAGAAGTTTGACAATACGTGAGCCGCGGGGCGCTAGGAAGCGAGCACGCTTCTCAGTTTTCGACAAATCAATCAATCGTCGCTGAATTTAGACGGGCTCTGTGTTTTCAAGCAACGAAAAGGTTAATTTGCGAAAAAGTTTGTTTTAAGCGGTCAAGAAAGTTCCAAGTGAAAAAAAGGTTTGATAGGCCTAGAAGACTTACCAGGATCGGTTGGCTCTTCACTTAACGTGCATATGTACTGATATGTAATGAAGAATTTAAATGTGCCGGATGTGCTCATTGTGTTCCTGTGAAGACTAAACTCTCAAGGGTACTGATTCAAAAAGCAATCTTTTAAATTATGGATGAACGATTTCCCGAACTATACCTGGCAACTTTATGAGCACATCCATGTTGTGCATCGCAATTTGCTCGACCTGCTTGCTGCTGCTGCAAATCTCCTAAATTTTAAATAGGACTCGACTACGACAACACTACTCTAGTTAATTGCTTGTTTTCACGAGACGTTTTGATTATTCTGTCATTCACACATGGGGTACCGATAAAAGCAAAGCTGTGATTGGAGGAGTCACAGTACCGCAAACGTGGCGCGAACACTTTCCAGAAAATGGGAGCTGAATTATAATTGGCTAGTCACGGGAAAGGAATGTAGTTCGGTTTTCAGCAGCCGTTAGTGGGGAGGAGCGTTGCGTGACGACACTAAAAACGGCTGTGTAGCAGACTAATCAATAGCCGGTTTTGTTTATGGCTCGTGTTCCGGATGCCTTTTTCTATGGGTTTACCGGCACTTCAAACCACCTGACTTTACAAATCGACAAATATTAACGCCAATATGTGGCTACGGCAAAGAAACCTTTCTCCACCACTGACATATTTCCATCGGTCGCTGTACGTGCATATAAAGTTACATGCGACAACTTCGCAAATGCAGCCACGTCGTTACCGCAACATTTCTTAACCATCATAATAAAGTCCAGAAAACAGATCTTAAACCACTGCGGCTTGTAAAATGTGAATGAAGTCCTCCATTACAATAGCCGCCAGTTCCGTCTATAAGCACGAAATTCTTAAGGATCGACTTAACAAAATACAGCTGCATACAGTCTGATGTTCAATTAATTTCTACTTCTGTAGTACTGAACAAACCATGAACGTATTCTTTCTTTGTACGTTCACATGAATAAATGTTGACTTTTCCTGTAAAACACCTTTCATAAGTTATCATGTAACGAGTGCAAAAACTCGTGTTTTGAAGTGCTGCTGTTTGTTGTTTGACTGAACGGAGTTTTGAGAAAGTTCTGCGCTATTAAATCGTGAGTCATGAGTGGCTTATGATGACTTTAGACAGAAGACATGACTTGATCACGGCACTAAAACCATACTTTTTTACCTAAAAGACTCCATTCTACTAAAAGTTATTTTATAAAAGCAATAGACCACACTTTCTATGGGTTTACCGGCGTGATAACCCGCTTGGGATGTTGGGAGAACGGGGTTATCACGGCTGTAAACCCATAGAAAGGGTGGTCTATTGCTTAAATATTATATATATCATATATTATTATATTATTATTATATATGTATTATATTATTAGTCAATACTAATTGTTATTATGTTTATTAGTTGCTATGAATTTTAATAAAGATAAAGATAATTTGCTCTTAAAACTTATAGTCTGTTAAAACCAAATATTGGTACTTGAGTGAAGGGAATAATGTCATTTGCAAAGCCTTAATCAGTAAAATGCTCTTGCCTGCGATGTCATGTCTTGGCTGGTAATCACAGGGGGGTTTTACTTTGACTTGTGTGTTACAGTAGTTCATGTGTTACACAATCAAAAATTAGCTAGTGTAACAGTGCCATTTCTAAAGCACTAACCGAAAGATTATTGCCTAATGCTGTTTGTCATGACACATTCATGTCCTTAAATGCATTTAATATACAGCTGTAGGTTACATGTCATCTTATCTTTACATTCAGAGTCTCATGATATGTGGGTTTCAGAGGTGAAGGATCCATTTATCTGAGCTTTGGTAAGTCATTTTTAATTACATTTGTTTCAATGTATTTAAATTAAATGTTACGATCAGATGTCGTCAAAAATCATAGCATTTAATCTTATAACTAAAACTTCGAGAAAATATCTATCTTAAAATATAGCCGTAAACACAGAAATCTGTCAATTACACAATACAGGATTTTTGTTTTGATCTCTTTTGCTAATTAGAGCAAAAACAGATTTTCTTTTCTTAAAATATCATCGGAAGAGTGTGCACGTGTACAAAATATATTTCCCCTGGCATGCACCCCGTGGTGGCAGGGAGGGTAGTCAATGGAAAGGTTTTTGGGTACGGATGTGCCAGGTCTAAAGTACAGGTCACATTCCACAGGTCACTGCTTCATTGATAAATTACCAAACCACACAAATTCCCCTCGATCTAATAGAACATTAAGAGATTAGGGCTAGGAAACACTTTTTCACCTGTTAGGTGAAATAATTAAGGACTGGCCAACCCCCTGAGGGTACACTTTAGTATCCTCCAGACAGAGGTTTCCATGACTGCAAAAATGACCTCTGCATGTTTAAGACAGTCTACACATGTATTAATTATTAGTAAAATCCAACTAGTGGTCTATTATCAATTCTGCATTCTGATTGGTTGAGCTACTACTAGGCTATATGTTATAGCCCACTAGTGGCGAAAAGTGCCGGCTTTGAAAACCAAAACAATGGCAGCTGAATCGCATTTTGCTAGGTAAAGTTGTTTTGTCTCGATATTTTTGACCAACTAGTTGGATTTTACTAAAACACTTATTCCTCTCGCACTCATGGACTCTGAGTCAATAGCTCATTCGGGCTCAAGGAATAATAATATTTTTCTTGTAGGAAAAATCCCTTCTCGGTCTTCAACCTAAGTAGTTTAATTTTATTTTTGTCTCAAACAAAGAATAATGAATGCGTTTGATTAAGAATTATATACAAATTAATTCCCAGGGAGACTGAAACCGGACCGCACCAATCCCAAGAGTTCAGTAGTTTCTGTAAAAATACAAAAATCGTTAATCCGCCAAATTGAACTTCCGAAAAATTCAGTGTCGAATGGTACTAGTCAGACAACATTTGCACTCTAAGGTAATGTGTGTTTCTTTTTCTGTTCCTGTTTTCTGTGGACTCCTGTGACGTCCAGGCTGATGGAGGTAAGACAAAAAGATTATCTGTTAATGTTGGTGCTTCTTGTTACTCAAACTAAGATAAACTATTGCTTGCTGTGGCCTTGATCATTGGCTACTATTTTAATCTTGAAGTCTCTAGAGTGACCAACATCAATATACTCCCAACAATTTCAATACATAAAAAAGAGAAAAAGTCGTGAGAATAATGTTACAAAATGACCACCCAAGGAAAAAATAGTTTGTTCTCTACACTAGTTTATTACAGTTGTATGTCTCTCTTCTTTTTCAATACATAAAAAAGAGGAAAAAAAGTCGTTAGAATAATGTTACAAAATGATTATCCAAGGAAAAATAGTTTGTTCTCTACACTAGTTCTTTAAGGAAATTTCAGTACAGTTGTATGTCTCTCTTCTTTTAGGATGTTTTGCTGCCCTTTTATAGTACAGCCTCTACATCGCAGGAAGGTTGTGAAATCAATTTAGGATCCACTTCCTCCAGGAAACTGAGGGTAACTCTGTTAAGCAGTGAATGGAGATCAACAAAAGGGGGCTTGTCAACCATCAACCGAGAGCTGGCCATTCAGTTGGCTAAACATCCCAGCGTGGAGGTCAGTGTTTATCTTCCTCGATGTAGTGAAGGAGATAAACGAGTTGCTGCAAGTCACTATGTTCATCTCATTGAAGCAGAAGAAATGGCAGGTTTAGACCCAGATCTCTGGTTGTCTTGTCTGCCGGAAGACCATGCTGTGGACTGTGTGATAGGACATGGGGCTGTTCTTGGTCGGCAAGTACAAATTATAAAACACCATCATCATTGCAAGTGGATTCAGGTAGTTCATACAGCGCCTGAAGAGCTTGGAATGTACAAATCCCATACAGATGCCATTTCTAGAGGCGAGAAAAAGCATCAGGCTGAAGTAAAACTCTGTGAAAAAGCTGATCAAGTTGTAGCAGTTGGTCCTAAGCTGGCTGAAGCTTTCTCAGGGTATCTCCGTTCCTGTGGAAAGGATCAAGATGTACTTAATCTTACCCCAGGCGTCTTCTCTGAGTTTGCTGATGTTAAGCAAGCCACTGAAGAAAGAAAAACATTCATTGTTTTAGCGTTTGGTGACAGTGAAGACTTTCAGTTGAAGGGTTATGACATCGCTGCTAAAGCCATTGCTGAGTTGAAGAACGGTCCACAGGACTATAAACTTTTGTTTGTTGGTGCACAAGGTGGAGAAGAGAAGACAGTAAAGGATTTATTGCTACAGCAGGGAATTGATCACAGCCAATTAAGGGTGCGTTGTTCCAATGAAAGCAGAGAACAGCTAGCCCGACTGTTTTGTGAAGCAGATCTTGCGATAATGCCATCACGAACTGAGGGATTCGGTCTAACTGCCCTTGAAGCTTTATCTGCTGGTCTGCCTGTGCTGGTCAGTGGGAACTCTGGTCTAGGTGAGGCTTTGAAGAAAGTTCCGTATGGTTCAAGCTCCGTGGTGGAGTCCGAAAATCCTAAAGATTGGGCCAAGGCTATCAGTGCTGTCCGTCAAAAAGACAGGCAAGTCCGTCTTGAGGAGTCTAAAATCCTGAGTGAAAACTATTCAAGAAAGTATAACTGGCAGGATCACTGTAATACACTTGTTGGCATAATGCGTAACATCTCTCGAGGTAAGTGATACACACCACCATTCATTTGTTCTGTTAAGGTACAACTGCCTGCAGTAGTTACGATTGGGAGAAATAAGTGGTTGTGTTGCAGGGAGCGAGAAGTCGCGGTGATAAAAACTGACAAAATACTGTAACGTGCAGTACATGCACAGTTACGATACATGTAACAGGGATGTATTGTAGTGCGACTCCTGTAACCGGGGGAGGCCTTAGTAGATTGTGCTAGCATAATTTTGGCATAAGTCGTCATTAGGAACATAATTTTCTTCTGTTTTCCAAAAAAAAAAATTAGCATAATTTGCACTTTTGGCTAGTTTTGCAGCAAAAAATATCGTTTATTGACCATGCAACAGTGTTTTTTTTAACCCGAGATCATTGTTGCAGGTAAATATAAGTAAAAGAAAAATCAATTTTTTTGTCTGCTTATTGTCACTTTCATGGGACCTGGGTCCCACAAGAATTCAGGAAGTGACCCAGAACTCAAAGCATGCGCAAAACTAGCTCAGTTATCCAAAATGGCCTCCGCGTGCTTGTGATTACTTGTTTGAGTTTTTGTAGTTGTCAGACAAGAGGTAACATCAGAACCTGGAGAACAATCGGTCCCAGGTGCAACATAGCGAGGACGTGCGCAGCCTGAGTACTAGTATGGCGCGAGCTTTAAAATCCGCCCGACGTCCACGCAAAAATTAAAACAAACATGACCTCTCAGTTTCGAAATTTTCCCCCAAAAAACTTTATTAAGAGGCCCTGTGCCTAAGATACGACCGATGATTTCCGGCTAAAAAATAAAATCGGCCGATTTTTATCTCCCGAGTAGAGGTTACCGAATACTATTCAAAAATGAATTTCTTTTGTTTCAGTTTCGCTTTAAACAAAAAATATCGAATCGCAAACTTTTTCCGTCTGATAGCAGCAAAATCAGGCCTAAAATAAGCCCTCGTAAAAAACGGTTCAGAAATCACTATCGCGACGCAAAACAACGAGAAAACCACACAGTGATGAAGAAAAAGGCCTTTTAATGCAATATCATTCGATAAACATCGAAAAACTGCAGAAGGGAATAAAAAATGAATTTTCAAATATTGCATATTAAATTAGATGGAGCTTTGGAGTTGAGTTTAAAAAAATAATTTCTCAAAAGTCCAACGCTGCTGAAAGCAATCACAGTAATGAATCAGACATTGGAGGGATATATATTACGATTCTGGAAAAACATTTTTCGGCCAAAGTATACTGACGTTGTACAAAGCGTTCAAAGTTGCAGTGTTTACCGTTATCTTGCTACTTCGGCGAAACACTTCTCCGTTGCCCGTGAATACGGCCGTGGATAGCGTGGTAAACGCCACTTTAATCCTTGCTAGGCGCTCAGAGACCATCCTAAGTAGAAGGACGTAGAATTAAAAGAGAAAGGAAGATGAAAAATAGGCAGAAAAAGAAAGGAACTCGAAATTACCATCTGCTGACGAAACTTGAATCTGGAAAATGTCGTCGCGTGACAGCGGCCAATGACTGCGGCGGAATCTAAACGAATGCACAAATTTTTTCCCGGCCAGAAAGCACTTAGTGAAACAATGTTACAGTAATTTTATTTTTTCACAAGCGATGGTGACTTAAAAGGAAAAAATTCCCGAACCGCCGCACCGTTTTGGCCTCAGCGTGATCTGATCGTTGTGGGGTCACGAGTCGACGCTTCTGGCCAGCGGTCTATTGAAAGAAATCTGATCCCACGTTTTTTTTTCGGGCGAGAATCATTCATGTCAATGTTCAATGTCTTCCTTCAAGGAAAAAAAGAGAGAGATATTGGAGTACTGTTACTCCCGAGAACGAGGAACATCTTGGTCCCGAAAACTGAGTTCATTACGCCCAAGAATTACGGTTTTTTTCTCAAAGGACTAGTATGTGGCGCTATAAAATGTTGCTAACAGATTCAATTCTTGGCACAGTGATTAGCCTCTCGTTTAGTATTTTCTTGGACATGAAAATATCGGGAGTGACGCTATTCGGTGGAATGGTGGACTGACGGAATGACGGAACGGAAACATGGAATACATGGAATATTCTAAAATACGGAATATACGGAATACTCTAAAACGCAGAATAAGAGAATAATCGTTTAAAAAGGGTATACATGTATACAGTCGACTCCAATGACTCGAACCCTCGCTACTGACTCGAACCTCGTGCTAACTCGAAGTAATACTAATTTTTGTTTCTCTTCAGATCATTTCTATATAATTTTACCCCCATTAACTCGAACCATGTTTTAAGCGCGTGACAAGTAAAAGAATTGACTTACCGTAGTCATTCGATTTAGCGCCCAGGCGCTTATTTACTTTTGGTGCCTCTAGGGAGGACGCTTATTCGGGACAGGGCGCTTATTATTTTTTTTTGAGAAACAACCAAATGTTAAAAAAAGAACCTTGATATTTATTTAAAAACGAACAACATTTGAAACTGTAGCAGTAACAAATACTGACGGTGAATGCTCAGTTAACGCGAGGGACTTACCTTGAAACTTGTTGGGCACTTTGTCGATGGAACTTTCCTTCCTTATATTCACCTTTCTTAAAAAAGCTCGCAGTCAAAACAAAGTGCGAGTCGATTAAGGTAATGGATCAAGGAGACTGGAAAACGGACTTGTTGTCCCTGGATCCTTCCTCTCCAGAACGACCAGCCGAGCAATCTCCACAAAATTTGAAGAAGAGATCATTCCTTTGAAGACTTTGAAGACTCTGGAAAATCTAAAGCAAGCGACCGGACAAATTTAGGCACAGGTGCGGCCCCCATTAATTGGTAGTACAATCCTGTCAAGCTTAAGTTTACAATTCTTTTTTTTTTGGAACAGTACGAAAATTGAATTTTTAATATTGCCTCTGCTTTTTCGTCAGTCCAGTTCAAATCAAATACAGAATATTCTGTAAATTCCGTGTTTTAGAGAATTACGTATATTCCGTATTTTACAACTGATTGCATGTATTCCGCCATTCCGCCGAATAGGGTCACCCAAATATTGGGGAGGACATCATAAAAAATTATAGGAGACCGGTAGGACTTTTAAATCGATGAAAGTGCCTCACTCGTTTTGCAACTTCATTTCATAATATGCTTCATAATTTGTTTCCACAATAATATTTATGATATTTAGATGATAACCAATGCACAACGCACAACTTGTCACATTACCGATTGGACAGCATACCATGCAATCAAACTCTTGCACAGGAAAGTTACAGAATGAAATTATTTTTTGCCACACTCAGTCACATTCCTTTACACTGAAACCTTGGCCAAAAGGTCTCTTTTTATATCTGTAGATTTGTAAGGTATTTCGAAATACCCGCACATGTCTTTCAACACTAACATTGAAAGATGAAAGTTTGTTGCTGTGATAATTATGACAAAGATTGTGAACATCAAATATAATTGGATGTTTTAAGCCCAAATATTCTATCACCTCTTCAACAGCATGGAGGGGGAAATGGGGGCTTACGGTATTGAGCTTTTTTTCAAGCGATATTTCGGTAATTTGGATTGTAAGGTGGGGTATTGCGGTATCATTTAGCCCTGCGGTATGCGGTATTTCCTCCTTTTGGTTAACGGTATTCGGTAAAAGAAGATCACGGTATTGCGGTACTGTTCATTGCCCTCTCCTGTTTAATGCTAGCCTGCGTAGCAGGCGTTTGGATGACCCCTCGCGTGTCTCCCTCGCGTGCGCCCGTTCTCTCTCGCGCCCACTACTTCCACAGGGTCCAGAGGAGTTTCGTGTGAATAAATGAAACTCACCTTGAAAAATGTCTATACCTGTCGCTTAGCACGATTAATTAGCCCAATGAGATCTTTATAAATCTACTGTAAACGATTTCTTCGCTTCTTATCTGACCCGGATCGACTTTTGAAAATCAATAACCGCAAGCCATATCCTCGCTGGCGCACGGGACGTCGCCCGAAGGGTGACCGAAGGCTTAAAATAACCCATTTTTTTCAGAGGTTTTCGACGAGTTCTGATGTTCTAACGACAAACACATCTCCTCTGGACCCTGTGCTACTTCCAAGCGCCTGCTACGCAGGCTAGTTTAATGCACGTCAGTATTTTTAAGACTTTAGATTAATGGTAAATGATTACCATTACACAATTTCTGTAGGGTATCTTTTCCGTTCATTGTACCGATCAATTCGAGGTCGTCTCACGTTTCCTCGCAAAATTAAATACCGCGCTACCGTGAGAAAAATTGGTAAATACCGAAATAACCGCTGACCCCTACACGCGCTGACCCGTAACGTCCGTTGGAATGTATGTAACGAAACACAAGCAGCCCACATTCAAAGTACTTGGAGACTAACTGAGGCTGAATTCATCATCATTAACAGGAAAAACATAAAACTGTTTCACTTCACGATTTCTGGAGATAGAAAGACTGTTTTTTTTAAAACTTATATTTCACGTATTTGTTTGGATCCCGCTGCAGTTCGGACAAATTAACGCTGTCAAGCGACATCATTTCCAAGATTCAACTCTCCTTAGCCGGATGGTAATTTCGAGTTATTCTCTTTTTCTGCGAATGTTTCATTTTCCTTTCTCTTTTAATTCTATATACTTCTATTTAGGATGGTTTTGAGCGCCTAGCAAGGCTTACCACGCTATCCTTGGCCATATTGGCAACAGAGAAGTGTTTCGCCGAAGTGGCAACTTAACGGTAAATACGGTAACTTTGAACGGTTTTTACAACGTCAGTATACTTTGGCCGAAAAATGTTTTTCCGAAAACGTGATGTATATCCCTCCAATGTCTGATTCATTACTGTGATTGCTTTCAGCAGCGTTGGACTTTTGAGAAATTATTTCTTTAAAATCAACTCCAAAGCTCCATCGAATTTAATATGCAATATTTGAAAATTCATTTTTTATTCCCTTCGGCAGTTTTTCGATGTTTATCGAATGATATTGCATTAAAAGGCCTTTTTCTTCATCACTGTGTGATTTTCTCGTTGTTTTGCGTCGCGATAGTGATTTCTGAACCGTTTTTTACGAGGGCTTATTTTAGGCCTGATTTTGCTGCTATCAGACGGAAAAAGTTTGCGGCTCGATATTTTTTGTTTAAAGCGAAACTGAAACAAAAGAAATTCATTTTTGAATAGTATTCGGTAACCTCTACTCGGGAGATAAAAATCGGCCGATTTTATTTTTTAGCCGGAAATCATCGGTCGTTTCTTAGGCGCAGGGCCTCTTAACTTTCTGTTGAAGCTCATTGTGCAAAAAGTTTGATTAGTGTAGGTCAAATGTTTATGAGAGGAGACAATGTTACACCGGTTACAAGACACTATGGATCTCCATAAGAGTAAATAGTATGTAAAAACAAAGCAGAAATTTTCCAAGGACATCAATTCTTTCTCTTCAAAAGTAGCAAACGTTAAATAGTCGAAGTAAGTGGTGAGTCGAAACTTTACTTAGAAAAGTACACTAACCCTGAAGGAAGCAATGTTGCTGTTTCTGGCCTTTGGTTCACGGTCAGTGGAAAGATCTGAAAGATCGAGCCATATTCCCGAACAAACACTGAAGATTGTCTTCACTGGCAGAGCTCCTCTGTCACTTTATTTCTCTAACATTTGATTTGATTTAAGTAATTCTAGAAGTGGCTTTAAGACAAAATTTCAGAAAGTGTAATTTTTTTTTTGTTTTGCCGACTCTATCACATTGTTTAAAAAACTTATCAGAGAAAAGGTTTCCCACCTAACTTGCATCCTAATCGAAGGAACCTTTCCATCGACGAACCAACATCTTTGTATTTTTTCTTGTATCAAACGTCCTTCAACGCACTTGCAAGACGCACTAGAAATGTTTTTGCACAACGAGAAGTAATTTTTACTCACAGATTGACCCTTGACGAAAGCAATAGTTGTCTGTCGAGACCTACGGTCTTGTACGTGTAGCTGAGGGCATGATGTACGATTTATAGATCGGCGCCATCTTTTACCGCAGACTTTTAAAGAATAATTTCGCCGTCGAAATTATGCCCAAAGAAGAACAAGGTTGAAAAAGTATCCGGAAGTGGGCTGACATTTGAAGATCTGCAAACAGTGTACAGGAGATTAGGAAATGAAGGGCTTATTGCGATCCTTGCACAACCACCGTCTTTATCTCTGACAATCGCCAACCTCACGAGTGACCACCACGGTTCGAATTTTAGCTACAATAGTCAAGTACTTCGAAGAAAACATCCTGTGTTAGGTATAAAATTGAATCCGCTATCTCTTTTTCTACAACTGGCGAGATATCACCGTAATAATACTAATAAGCAGCTTTAAAACCATGACTTTCGTACTCTTCAAAGAAACCAAATGTTTTCAGTAGCTTTGTGCATTATGCGCATGCGGGCGTGATGGCTCGCGCAGGTATTTTGCTCATACGACCCCGAACCACGCGTGTTTTTCGGATTTTTGTGACGTCAACGTAGTTAATTAACCGTGAATTTCTCGCGTTTCCTTCGGTAATTTTTTTTAAAAATCGCCTCATTTCTTAACAGTTGCAGTACATTTGTACTGTCCTTTTTTTGTTAAAATCTGTAAGACCTAAATTTTAAGAAAAAATACAAATACAAATACAAATTTCAAAATATTGGCAAAACCGTCGTAACGACCCCATGTTTTTTCCACTTTAAAATGGTAAGCAAAATTGTTAATATAAAGTGGCAAAGTTTAAAGACATTTCACTGAGGGAAATAAGAAATATTAAGAAAAAATGACAAAATTACTGCCTGTCTAAGTCAATAAAGAAATATAATGCGGTAGAACATTTACAGAGACAACAATTTTCATTCACGAAAACAAATGAGTATTTAATTGTCTCTAAGAATCCTGAAGCCTTTACTAGTAAGCTTAAAGATTAAGTTTATGTTTTAAGCCGCCGGTTTCCCCGCGGTGTTTGTTGTTTTCAAAGATGAACTCACGACAAGAAAATCGCTCAAAGCTTTCTTTCTACAGCCAAAATTATAACTAGATATTCTTCGGAACGTTTTTTCTTTCTATTTACGGTGAATAAATATCGACTAAAGGCTTTTTAAAGTTCTGTAACCTTAAACTTGTATCAAACTTCATACTAGGTCATATCAGTGTCTCAGTCAAATCTTAATACAAATTAAACGTGCATAAACTAGCTTCATAAATTGCGCCGATGGACTTCATGAAATTATATTTAAATACAATAATTTCTCAGGCTTACCATTTCTCGAGATGCAGCTCCTGAAAGTTATCAACTAAGGCAAGGATCGCTTGAGCCTTTATAATTCTCGTACGCATCCAGCAAGGTGAAAAACAAAAACGATGCCATCCGAAATCGGATTATCGGCTTTGACAAGAGACGCATTTCTCAACCAAAAACCCCAAAAACAAACCATGAATAAGCCATGAATAAGAGAACAATCTTGATAGCAGCTGTATTTCATTTTGTACATCCAGTGGAAAAAGACAGTTAAAAAAATCACAAGTTGACTCAAAACTCTCTCAGCTTCAGCTGTCAAAGTAAACAACTTTCAAGATGCTGCATAAATTTTACGCATGAACTCACCTGTCAAATTTTAACCAATCAGAGCATAAAAATTGGACGTGGAGCGTGACCAACACGTAACCGTGGTAAGAAAAGGTCTTTCCCGCCTGTATTTTAAAAAAACTGGCTGAATTTTTGCGTCTGAGGTCAGTTTGAAATCAAAACCGTAATAGTGCGGCGATACTGACAAAAACACAACATATTTAATATGAATTTAAAAAAAGGTAAACGTGAGCCTGCGATCATTTGAAAACGAGTAAATTGTCTGCGAATAACTTCAAAAAATACTCGACCTTGATGGGTCGACACCTGAGCCCGCGATACGGTCAGGTGATACTGGTCAGCGGATACCCTGTTTTGACAGCTGTCAATTGATGATAACATTGATGTGCAATCAGCTTTCTCCTGGGCTTCTAAAGTAGCTAGAAAGTGTGAGAGTACACATTGGTATGGCTGTGGTGCGGACGGTCGGTCGGTCACGTGATTACCAAATTTTCTGGGATGGGTAGATTTATTTACCCATGGTGCTCCGCTGGCGCGCTTCGCGCGCGGAGCTCCGCTACTAATCTTATTACAGGACGAAAATAACCTGAATACATTCCGAGAAAGTTGGTTGCCAATCATACTTTCGAGAAAGGAAACAAACGATAGTTATGATCAAAAACTACCTATTATAACCTTTACATCACTTTTTGAGCCCGCTGAAGCTGAGGGGTCCCTTAGAGTGATTGACGAAATTGAAAAACGTAAACGTTGCCCCGGCTTATTTTTTTACAATGCATGTCAGGTCGCATTGGTCGCATGTTCTCGAAAAGAGGCAATGTTAACTGTCAATTGTAAATGACAAAATTGTAGCTTTATGACAACAAATGCATGTATGTACATGTATCCCGAGCCCTATATTTAAAGTTATAGTTACAGAACACGGAAAGCGTTGTCTAATAAAAAATTTTGCTTGCTTGGAAATTTTTTTGTTAATATTGAAATTTTGCGCCTGAGCTGCACATAGGCTACAACCTTCTTTCCTGAGGATGCTTTTTTTTTCTGATATGCGATTTCGCAGTTTTGTCTAGGCGTCCCCGGTACAGTAGTCGCACTGATAAAGTAATGTCAGTGTAAAGCAAAAGCAGTGTGATTGTCGCATAAATGTGACTTGCAAGGATTCTAGTAAGCTATGGATTTTACCTTACCTTTTATCTTTTTATCCTGTACATTGAGGGTATTAAAATGAATTATTATAATTATGTCTGAATCCGCGAGCGAGCGAGATGAAGCGAAGTTTGCATTGTGATTGGCTACCCCAGTGGGCAAGATGGGACCATCTTGCCCGCTCGGGATTTCCCGCGTGGGTCCCGCAAGTCTAATAAATCCTTTATTGACCGAGCGCGAGGTCAAGAGGCTGTATCTTGGCCTCATTTTCTTTTTTTCTTTTTTTTTTTTGCTTTTTTATTGACCGAGACTAATATCCAGCCATCTTGACCTCACGATTGGTCAGAAACGCACATATATATAGATGGAATCTGAATATAGTAATTGATAATTGCGGATATTGATTATTTTTTTTAAGGAAGCGTTGCATCAAATGAGCAAAATTTATCTGTGACAGCCACTATGGATTGTCAACTCAATGAGGAACCTTCACATTCTATGAAGCTTCTTGATAAAGGTACATGAGAATATAGGATGCTTCCACTCACAAGAATAAAAGTTGTAAATGCATTTTTGCATGCTTATATGGAACTACTTTTCCCAATGTATTATTGCATTTTGAGAGCTAGACAAACCTTTAATTGGTACCCTGCACAGCATCAGGGAAAAAAGACAACAATTAATTCACTTAGTGTAAAATTCAGTTCCAATTCAGTTCCAAAATGTCGAAATATCCGAAATGTTCTCGGGTTCTTGGCATCCGTAACAGGCCTTAAACGCTGTCAACACACAAATAAACATAAGAAAATACTAAATGCAAGCTTAAATAGAAAAATTTAAAGCATGTCTCGCTCAATTATGGAAAAATAGGATAATTCTCGTACAACGTGTTATAATCAGTATTGTTACCGTATAAATAATTAGCTAAGTAGGATGCTCTCATAGTGAGCTTAGACTACCTGTGGTTAGGTTAACGTAACTGGCAAACTGAGCCAGAAGCACCCTTGCCGATTGGTGTCTGTTTTAGAGCATTAAAATTATACTTAATACTTCACGAACTCTATGATAGTGATAGCCGTACGTCTCCTACTTGCTTAAACTGATTGATTCGTTCTAGCCTTGGCGACTGTACAGACTTTCCGCACCATACTTCAA